AAGATTGTCAGTCCTCGTCTGGGGCGAACAGCGAGTAAAGAGCAGTACGCCTTCTTCTACAGGTGAGCCAAGACAGTCAGTTGCTCCACAMAAGGGAATTAAAAACCACGGCGTCTTTCTTTTTTTTTTCGCATAGAGTATAGAGCAATGTATATCTACAGCTGGGCATGGATATTAATCGAACGCCCGAGTTTGGACCAATTTGCGACGATCTTGGGCTTGCAAGCGGTCGATTGGGGACGTGAGCCTGAGGTTGTTGCCACRAAGACTCGAGCTTTACAATAACCATAATTATTGCGAACGTCTCGCGCATTTTTGTAAAGCGCAATCAYGCAGGTATATTATATTAGTTAGAGCAAAGCGGCGCTCGGTTTTCCCCCAAGGCAAGAGAATATGAAGTATTCTCTTGCTGAAGGTTGTCCCATGATGACGCATTAATGTGGAAATAAAACCAGTGAAATGAAATCATATCTATGATAGAGTTACTCTTGTGAAAACAATGAATTCCAATTGATTGACGTTCTTACAGGACTGACATGGTCTCTGTAGTTCGTTCGTATGTCTATGATGACGGAGATGAAAGCAAGTACCAGGATACTTTTGAACGCGAACCATTTGTTGTTCAGTTCCACTCAACCAGCACAAGTGAGTACATATAAACAAGCTAGGTTTAAATAAAGTATTAAGAGAAAAAGGAGCTTCAGTGCTGCTGTTTAGTATATACAATAGCAACTGAGCAACTTCAAGTTTCATCGCGACATTCAACGGTTAAGTCGGGAGGGCTTTTCGATGCTCTAGAGTATTTTAAACATGCGCCATCGACGCGCAGCACAGATAWGAGTTGTTTGTGTTGCTTCAAAGTTCGTCGATGGCAAGAGAATATGACGTGAGAGAGCACATCTTCTTGCCCTATGATAGTTTTTTGAAAATCTATTTTTAGCTTCGCGACCAAGCCTATACTTCATATTCTCTTGTCGATGGGTAATGACAAAGAAACGGTCACTGTATGGGCGGCTAGACGACGTCTGCTTATCAACCAATTAAACATGTTTAAAAGCGCGCGCTATTACTTCTCATCCAATCAAAATGTTAAGACCTGGCACGGTTACGGTCAAGGCGTGCAAGTCAGTACCATGCGAGCATTCTGTTTTGTTTTTTTTTTTTTACAACTTTATTTGGGAAAACTAATATTACAATGTATTGATTAGAAAAAAAACTAATAGTTACCCAGAAAGAAAAGTCACGAACGGGACACGAGACCCATACAAGGTGACCACCTCATGAATTGTTGAAATAATTAAACATGAAAATATATGCAAAAAATATAACATTGTACGTAAAAATAAAAATAAGAATGGAAAAATAACTTCATTAAGATAAAACTGGTGTACTTTATGAGGTTAACCTCTATGACAGAGACATTCTCAGGTTAGAAAAAACTTGTTCTTAGATATACATGATATTCTATGTTTTTAGAGTTAACAGACTTTGTACTTGTTGGAATACACACTTCTCCGTTATCAGCACCAGCTGAAATCGACGCCCTCGTTGATGTCTACGATGACGTCATATCTAAATGGTCCATGAATGACGTCATTATTCTAGGTGACTTGAACGCTGCGTGTAGTTACATGTCGGATTCTGATTGGAAGAAAAACAGATTGTTTAACGACAAGAGGTTTACGTGGCTCATTGATGACTGCATAGACACAACCGTTGGAGGGAGCACATGCGCGTATGACAGGTAATTCACACTACTYCAATGTATAGTGTTTCCTAAGCAGAATCAGTTTAATATCGCCTAATTTTGGATTTCAGGTTCGTTAGCGCAGGCTCAGCTGTGAACGCAGCGGTTGTTCCTGAAACGGCTAGTAGATTMAAGTTCGACTCCGAGTACAACATTACAAATGACTTGGTGTGTAAGATGCAAACAATTTATGATATGAAAAGACTCATATTTAAGGTTTATTGTCAGCTTATTGGTCGGCTTTGTGGCCGCTTAGAATTTTGAATTTAAAAAAAAATCCATTCTGATCCATTGAATTTTGCAGGCACTAAAAGTAAGCGACCACTATCCAATTGAAATAAATCTCGTCAGTAAAGGTAATATATCGCTAAACTGCCACAATACCTCACAAATTTTTTTCACAATGAAATGTTAAAACTCCTTTAAGAATACCAAGACAATAGTGAAAATTAAACAGAAAAGCTACCGCAAGGGATTTTGGAATTTTCTTAAGACCGTAATATATGAAATTGTTCTCTAAAGTTAATTTGRTTATTTTTTACAGGGTTTTCAGATGCACTCCAGTCTGTCCGAGAGAGCGTTGAGTACAAGTTTTATCCCAACAATCCTCCAAGGCTAACATACCATTCCATCTATCGTACTGCCCATTCTTCTTCTAATCCACTCTTATCACTTGGCTTTGTCAGTGAGACCTCTAAGTCACCTTCTGGAGCCATTGCTGTAATCACAAACTCCAAGAAAGTGACCTCCGACCGGGAGGCATCGCAGGCACTCTCTCTGATTTATYTTCATTGGAAAAATCTTTTGAAGATAGATCAAGTAGATTTGGCATTGTATAAGGTGGTTAATAAGAAATTTCATAAGGATTCGTTGACTTCAGCCGTTGTGAAATTGGTTTGTAGAAAAATACCTACTCCAGTGGAATGCTGGGTAGCGTTGGAAATGTAATGAAAAGGAGTMAAATTTTCATTACCCTTCCCCCCTTAGTCATAAATGAAGTATAACATTAGTAGCTGAATGATGATTTTAGAATTTTAAACAAACATTTATCATTCAGATTAAGATAAAACAACCAAATTCATGAATAAAATTACATATGGTATAAAAACCCAAGTCTCTACCTCTTTATTAAAGTAATRCAAGCATTGCAGTTCAAAATCTTAACGTTTGTGAAAGAAAAAAAATACTTATAAAAACCTAGAAAATCTGAAAAATCTCAACTATTTTTAAATATTTAAAAATAATATTCATCCGGCATCCTTAGCGCAGCTGATTATGTATTCTATTGTTCCTCGAGCCAATCAGAAGGCGTTTATCAGAAGTTACACTTTTTTCAAAATGGCTTCAGGAATCTTGCAGCAGGTTTTTTGATGAAGTCGATGAAAATTGCACTAGTTCACTCAAATACAACCAAAAAACTTACATGAATAGCTCAACTACAAGCTTTTTTAATGGAGCTCAGTCGTCAGAGTTTAAGTGAGCTTCCAAAAGGACCATTTACGGCTACAAAATTGGTAAGAGTTGGAGTGAGCGAGCGAGTATCGTAAGGGTTTGAGTTTCACGTTTGAGTGATGATCGTGTTGTGATTGTTTAGTATCTTATTGATGTTTTTTCTTGCTAAACAAACTCGTCTGCAAATGTGATAATGATGAATATCTATGTATAATTTAATTGCTTCTAAGCGCATCGAAGAAATCTTTGCTCATATTCATTTGATCACCCTTCTGCCATTCTAACAAATAAGCTTATAATTGTTAATTATGAAAATTTAACACCTCATTTCGATAGAATTAATAAGCTGTATTCTTCCTTCGATTTATGAATCCAGTGGAACGAAATAGTTTCTCAACTAAAAGTYAACCTGCAAGTAAAGAGACGAAGATGGAGAATGAAACAATACGATGATGTATTTGTAGCTTCTGAAGCCGTAGACTGGTTACATGATTATCTCAAAGAGAACCCAAATTTTGGCCCGTCAGTGAACAGACAACAAGCTATTCAACTCTGCCAGAAATTTTTGTCTCACAAAATCATTGTAGACGCCAGGGGAAAAGGCTTTAACACTGTATTTGAGGATAACAGTCATCTCTATARATTCGCGGATATTCGATATTCTCCTTATAAGAGAGGGAATGATTCGTCAAGGGTGTCTTTGAGCTCTGAGAGGAGGACTCTATGTAAAACACAGAGCTGTGATGTGTCTTCTAGTCTTAATGAAAGTCCTAAGTTTGTGAGAAGATCATTTCGTAGTAGTTTTACAAAGATAGCCTTCTCGCATGCTCCCTCTCGAACCCCTCTTGGCCCTATCACCAATAAGATGAACAATATAGGATCAATAAAGAGCGATTCTAGAGGTGCTGTTAGTGGAGGAATCAAAAAGAAACTAATCAGGAGGGAGAGTAGTGGTGATGTCATTATGAACCCTTCTGCACTCGGTTTTCAWACCAATCGTCGTAGTTTGACAGAGAAAGAGATCAATGAAATATGGTGGGACATCACTGTGACACGGTAAGAAAAAAAATTGTCTAGACATTTATCCAACAAAATAGTTACATCAACATTGTCAAACTGTGACAAAAGATACCTTCAATGATTCTAACAAATGTTAGATCAATGTARTGTCAAATGTTAGGACCATTGGTCATTGCCTTAATTTAGGGTGATTCTTACTCATTTATGTGAATAACTGTTTCTTGGCAGTGTGTCTAGTCTACTAGAAATGAAATGTTCCCCAGAGGATTTCAAGGGAGATGATTATGACATTGAATGTGTCAGGGAAAATGCTGAGCAGCAAGGCATCTGCAAAGGTAAGCTACAGGAACAATAGCTTTGGGAATGATGCATGTCCAATATGATAAAGTTTTATGCCAAAGCTGGATGAGTCCAATACTAGTCCTGGTTGTACGAAGCCTGGATAGCACTATTCAAAAGATAAATCTTATCCAGTGGATAAATTTATTGGATAACAGCATCGACTTATCCACTGGATAAGGATTTAGCACTAACCACCCTTCCTACAACCGGGCCCAGATCATCTAGTTTGCATCTTTTCTTCTTTTYTTTCTGTTGCCTTCATCTTGGGAATAGATGAAAGGCAGTTAAATAATAGGAAAGGGATTGGGTAGGTTAGTAAGGTTGCTAACATTACTTCTGTATAATGCTCAAAATATTTGAATCGATCTTCAGTATCTCGTCTTTTTCTTACAGCAAGTGAGGTTGTTCCACCCTGGCTAYTCTCTGCCATGAAGTGTTTAGTACAGTGTAAGTGCAGAAATCCTTGCAGTACTCCTTTTTATTTATTATAACTCTGATGTTGGATCCTGTGTGCAGCCAGAACCAAACCCTGGCTATGACCTATAGCTGGTTGAGGTTTGGTATGTGCTGCATTCTTTTGTGGTGAGCTGTCAATATCAATTGATGTCAATACTGCAACAAAGCTTTATTTGCCTTCTGGATAATGCCAAAAAAGAGCCTTTGCTCCACAATGTTTTAGTGATGGTTCTATCATAGTATTATTGGTGATTAACATCAGCTTGGTTCCTTGATGCTTTCAGGGCCCATAGACAATGGAAACACCAGTACTTTTCCAAAATACCCAGGATTTGAGAGAGATGTATTCAGAGCAGTTGTTGAACATTTTGATAGTTTTCCTCATCCACTGGTTGATTTAAATATTTTACCACTCTTCATCAAAACGGCTGGTAAGGATTATAAAATTAATAGTAATCTTAAAGTGGAAAATATTAAGAACAACATACAAGCAAACTGTTTTGCTTCTACTTCTTTCACCAGAGGGACAGACACTAAGATTGTCTGCATAGATTGTGAAGCTAGTTTCATTACTATTACATTGTTGAAGTGAGACACAGGAAGCTTTATGTCTTATCTGTTGGCTAGCATTTTGACAGCTGTCAATTAAAGAACTAAATAAAAAAATGATAYCTTGAGGGAGTATTTTGACTGAATTAAAATTCCTAGAGGATTACTAAAAGGTCAAAATCTTTAATTCAGTCACAGATCTCCCTCAAGATAAGTTGATTGACAGCTGTCAAATGCAAGTCAACAAAACGAGACATCAAGCTTCACGGCTCACACTTTAACGATAATGGTAATATGGCTCCTTTAGCCAGAAAGTTCTGAGGATGTTAATATACTGAATCTCTCAGTGGAGCACCATACCATATACCTTTATCCTTACTTATTTCAGGTGTCATAGTAAAGTGCAAGCCCACAGCACTGAAATCAATCCAGTATTGCTGTATGCTACTACAACATCGCAAGAGAAAAAACTTTCAAGTACTGATCAAACTGATGGTCAAACTGGTACAAAACTCCAAGCTGACACTCAGTGATGAACTTCCTACTAAAGAACTGGTAGGTAACTTTCTATRTGTCTCCTGCAGTCTTCTGATTGGCTAACATGACCCTAACTATCAGCGGAGGCATGCACTGCAGATCCTTAGTGGTGACAATGGTTTGTACCTTGTTCTACAACCTTTAAGGCTGCTCATGCATTAATAGGGCGGCTCACTAGATACACCGTGCTGAGGAGGGCYAATACAGGCTGAAACAGCTGTCCACGGTTTCTAGTTGAGCTTGCTCAATTTTTACGTGACTTGAAGTTGTGAAAGGCCCATTGGCCCTCTTCTTCACTCGTTTCATACAAGGCTCGTAATTTACCTATTGCGCATGTTCTAATAGGGCAGGGATGAAACTGTAAATCACAAGGTTTATAAACTTATATTTTGGTTTTGTGCAAATATCCAAATGAATGGCTAATAAATAAATTATGTGAACCTCCCATTCCTTTCCTTCTGTAATTGCCATTCAGGCTTGGGATWAATTCACTAATTCCTTATGACACATCATAACAGTCCAAATAGAGCTTATATTTGGACTATAAGACACACTCAACAGATGGCAGGTTGTAAAAGAAGATTGCATAGTTTGATCAAAGCAAATTTCAATTTAATGTAAACAATGCAGTTACAAAATAATTTTGCAGTCAAAGGAACTTTTGGATGACTGACTCTAATATGAGGTTCTAAAAGCCTAGTCTTTGAATCCTCTTGCTATAGTATACCGAGTCAAGGTTTAGAATTATTCTTAAATGTTTATTATTTTCTATCGGCATTGTGTTTCAGCTGATTCAGACCTTTGGCAGGTGCATTTTTGGAAGGAATGRTGACATGGATGTTATCCGACTACTCTTTTTCATGATGGAGAACTTTCCTGATTGTTTTACGGTAAAGTTATTAGACAAATTATTATTTGATTGAATGTAACAAGTTTACTAAACCAGTGATTGTGTGGCAGTGGTGGTGGTGGTGGTTGTGTTGGTGAGCTCAGTGATGATGGTGGGGTTGGTGGAGGTGATTATGATGCTCGTGGTAGTTTAGGTATGCAGTGGTAAAGGTGATAATGATAATGCTGATGTTACCAAGTGGTAGTGAGGATGATGATCGTGGTAGCGGTGATTTATTTTCTCTGTATTATGATTATCTATTATGTACAGAACGTTTATAGTGTTTTTTTTTCTTGTTCTTAATCAATGAAATTGTACAGCAACCAGATGGATTACGATACCAGGTTGAACAGCGAGTTCTCTTTCTCCAAAGCTGCAGGGGAAAAATAGTAAGTGAATGATTTCAAACATAAACCCCACACATACCATTGACTTTTTTTTACTTTTTGCTTTCTAATTCAGTTATTATTTACAAGTACCAAGAAATATTTTTCATTGCAAAATTGTTTTTCCCCTCATGATTTTAGAGCTCAGTTCCTCAACAAAAAGGTACCACATTCTGTGAGCGTGTAACAATGCAGGAATATGCAGAGGATGGTTTGCGTAGCTCTCAAAATGCTCTGAGAGATCTCCTTGATCAAATTGTTAAAGATGAATCTTTATCAGACAAGGAACGCAAGAAAAAGTTCAAGCAGGTTGGTATAACTAGGAAAACCTTCTCAATTTTATCAATACCCTGAATCTTTGGGTTTATCAAAGTCAGGGCATGGCTAACTCTTGGAATGGACCCTGAAATAACCTCTGGGCTGATCTAAGTCAGGACATGGCTAACTTGCAG